AAATATATTATTAACAATTTTATATCCTTCAAATTAAATATATCATAAAATCTATTTTTTCTGTAATTATCATATTAACTTATGTCTTTTTTTAGTAATTTGTATATATAAAAAGTGCTTCTGATAACAACTATCCCAAACACTCTCACTTCTCAAAATCACTTTTTACAAATCTATTTTTCACAAGAATCTATTCTCCCCAGAATCTATTCTCTAGAATCACTTTTCCAAACCACGTTAGTTTCATCAAAAACACACCCTAAACTTGGGATGCGATGAAGTATGTGGAAGGGGAATAATCATGGTTTCTGAAAATTATATTGAAGCAATGTTGGTCACAAGAATTCAGTTGGTGTTTTAAACAAGGAAACATGGAAAAAAAAAAAACAAGGCATGAAAATTACAAAGTCTAAACAAAATTTTCAAAAAAATGTGTTATTTGTAGTTAATTATTGTCAAAACTTAAGACGAAGAGTAATTTAGGATTTTAGAATTTTCATTGTCTTTATATCTATGATTTTAATGTAAGGAGGGATAAGGGCGGGGGGAAAGGGACAGGGGAATTGATGACGTATCTGTTGGACTAATGTTAAACCACGTGACCACATGGGCTGTCACCAGGTCATGTTGTTTTTACACATTTGTTTCTTCACTGCTGAGCTGTTTTATGTTTCCCATAAAAACTGTGGCCCTCTGATCTTTCCCATTTTTCGTCTCTGTTGCAACTTGCAACATCTCCCTCCACTCGTACGTTATTCCCGTAGCCTCTCCTCTCCTCTCTGATCATCACGTTCATATAAACAGTCTCTGCAAATTGCAATACGCTACAACGTCTCAATCTGCAACACCACTATCGAATCTACCTGATTAATCCCTTAAATTATGTCCTCCAAGTTCACGACCAAGTTTTAAAAATCGAGATTGTGCAGCCACGAAGGTTTGGTTTTCCTTTGACGACGCCTTTTGACTAATAAAGGGGAAAAAGTGCATATCACACTCAACTCCCACTTGGATTTGCCTCTTCCGTTTCAAGTTGATTTGTCCTCTATTAAACAATGGGGGCTCCAAAATGGCTCAGATGATTAACATGTGTTTAAACAAATCACTGGGCCTCCAATCATTAGCGAATCATTACTGACTCCAAACATCAATACCCAACTAAGACCCACCAGATTCACATCACAAACATGGAAATTTCTGATTAATTTTAAGCAACATGACTTTGTCATCAATGTTTTTGTGGACCTGGAAATTCAATTAAAGAAAATGAATCAAAGAATGATGCTGTATACAATTTAAGATTTCTAATCAATTGACGTAAATTACATGAGAGGGGGGAATTTCTAACGTGTCTAGAGAAATGATGGGGGAAAACCCAGGAAAAAAAATCAGAGTCCATCGTACAATAGTTAGATCCCGCTGCGTACAATTAGCAATATCGACTTCATATGATGACCGACTGAACGCAAGATTTGAATGCTTCTCCCATAACATGCGCCCTCAGATCTTTCTTCCGTCCAGTTCTCAACCGTCCGATCATCCTACAGCTGTTATGAGTAATATCTACACGCAGCGGAAGAAAGGAGGCGCCACAGAAGGCGGTTCGTAACAGAACGGGGCCGCCGGATGCTGCCACTTTTTGAACACCACCTTCTCCGGCTCCGCCCCTTGTTGGCGTTGCTGCTGCCGGGCCTCTTCCCTCTCCGTCGCCGGCGCACCGAGTTTAACCGGAGGCGGCGACGAAGCGAGGGGTGACAATAGGGGGATGGCCACGTTCCAATCACACGACCGATTTACCTGTAACGAAGACGGCGCTCGCATTTGCAAGCGGCTGGGTTGCTGTTGCTGCTTCCGGCTACCGGGGCCGCCGTGCTTATGCCTCTGCGAATCAGCCATCTACGGCGAGGAGATGAACAAGAGAAAACGAAGAAAATCCGATAGGTCTTCCGGTGACGGTGGAATGAAGCTGGGGCGAGATAGAAAGAGAGTCAGAGAGAGAAGAGAGGATGAAGAGCGAGTGAAGGTGGTTAGAGTGAATATAAAGGGACAGGATAGGATGCGAGCACACGGTGGGAAGCGAAAGGGGGAAAGATAGCTGGGCTTGGCTGTCCTACAGCTCGGCTCGGGAGCCGCCGTAACGCGTTGCTGACTCATCTCTTTTTAATTATCCTTCCCTTGGCATTCGCTTCTCATCAATTCAGGATATCACCTTTTTGTCTCTCACTAATTCATTTCCTAAATAGCAAATACCATCAATATCTTATCCCAAACCATTCTTTGTCATGCGCAAACTAACCTATTTTTAAATTTTTATGTTATTATTTAAAAAGCTAAATAATGTAAAACCCTTTAAATTTTATTTCACATGTAAATAACTTCTACAACTTCTATAACTTTACAATAAATCTCTCGAAATTTTTATATTTATCTAGATAACTCTCCTATTGTTAGTTTTATTCATTATTTGTTGAAATTTATATTGATGTCTGTTTAAATATAAAAGGAAGAAGCAAGGGAGTGATTTATTTTTTTTTTTTTGGGGTGGGGGGCTTGGCTTAGCTTGAGGGCTGAGCTGAGCAAAGAGAAAAAAAGCAAGGCGAGGGAGGAGTGAGAGAGAATGAAGAAAAAGCAAGGATACGTCTAACAGAAAAGAGATGGCAGTCAAAGATAGGCACAAAATTTTGCGCAAAGGGGATGCGTGTGCGTGGCTTCTCTTTTGATTCCCTTTTGACGTTTTTTTTTTAATTCCTATTATTATTATTAGGAAAAATAGCAAATAAAAACCCTATAATATATGAAATTGCGATTTGGGATCTCAATTTGAAAAATAGCAAACAAAGACCCGATCTCATATTATAAGTATAAATCTTGATGAAATGTCTAAAATACTTCTCAATTAAGTTGTAATTTGGTCTACTGAAATTGTCATTTACTAAAGTGAACTTATCATTTCTCATAGTTAACTTGTCATTTGGTATATTTGAGTTGTAATTTCAGACATTTCATTAAAATTTCATATTTACAATATAAGATAGGGTCTTTTGGCAATTTTTCAAATTAAAAATCTTAAATTATAATTTCACATATTAGGAGGTTTTTATTTGCTGTTGTTTTTATTATTATCTCAAAATGCGCCCCGCACCTAAAATAAAATTAAATAATGGGCCCCCACCTGTTCCTCCACATCAATGCGAGCAAGAACCCGCCACCTGTACCTCAAGAGATTTTTTCAAAAAAAAGAAAGGGAAACAAACAGTCCCCCCCTCCTCCTCACTTGTATTCTAAGTTATCTTTGCATTGTTCATTCCAAACCCAACCTAACCCACAAAAGTCGTCGAAATTTTACCACCACGCATTCTCATAACCCACAAACTAATGCCCTACATCACACGCACATATCAATGGTTCTACTCCTATATTAACTTTGTGGAGGAAAATTAACAGATGATGTGCTTGCCTAATCACACCTTCCGCAGCTGCGTTAAATATTTGGTAGGAAAATATTTTTCGTCAATTATCTTTCTTAACTTGATCGACATTATGTTTGAATCCTGTTTAAGTCCTCCAATTAAACGTGAAGAGGAGGTGGGGGGAATGTTACCTTGCCAATAATAATGATTCATCTAGACAATTGTGAGCCTGATCAGTATTCACTAGGTTCGAGTATCATTCTTTACTCTTTATTTTCCTACTCATGAAAGTAATTACTATATTTTGTCTTTAATATACTGCTCCGTCTCTCATTATAAGATCTTTTTAATTAAATTGAGCGATTTAAGAAAATAGTTAAAATTAGTTAAAAGCAATTAATATGTAGCAAATATAATTTTTTTTCCAAATATACCCCTATATATAAATGGGTAGATGTGAGAGAGTAATAGTGAGATAAATGAAGAAAGAGAAAGTATTAAATATATTACACTAATGATAAAATAGATAATAATACATTAAATGTTCAGACAAACTCAAAAAGAATCTTATAAAAAGAAACAAACTTATTTAAAAAATTAGATATTATAATAAGGGACAGAGGGAGTAAGAGTTCGTTTGACTTTTATTTCGATTCGAAATATAAAACTCCAATCTATTTTGACTCTTGTATTTATCTTTTTTTTTCAAGACAGTTATTGTAATAATGATAGTTCTAACCAATACACTTGATTAGCAAGAATATTTTAAAAAGATAATATCCATTTATTATAAACAACTAATTTAACTAATTTTCTTAACTTATTATAAATTAGTCAATTAGTTCTTATATTAAGAATCGGAAGTAATATATACTTATTATCCCAACAATATAAATAATATATATAATTTTTAAATTAAAAAATGGATATCAATATGTAATAAATGTATTAATATATACAATAAAACTATATTAATTGTATCATTCACAAATGACGATATCCTATTTTTCAAATTTTTACACAAGGCATAAAAAACAACCTAAATAATGCATTGCCCCCACTCCTCTTTATCACACATTCTCCTTCTTTAAATATATGATTGCATGGCTACATCAAATCTCTGCTTTTTCTGGTCCTGCACTTATTTGCACGCCTTCTTCAAAGATGTCCACCCCCACCCAAAAATAAATAAATAAAAAAGGTGTCTTGTTTATTCGATCAAATTAAACATGTGAAACAACCGAAAGGGAGAGGAAAAAAAAAAGAAGCTTCTTTCTGTTCTTTTTACCCAAACTTAACAGAGGGTTTAGAGACAAGTCCCACGAAAAAACGTGAGAAAAGTTTCAACATTTGACCGAGGCAGGCAACCGAAATACTTGCAGGCGAAGTTGGGAAGAAGGTTATAAACGAGCAAGGAGACAACTTTATGGTCAAACCAATAGATCCACGCTTAAACCCAATTTTATGCATTTGTTAACCTGCGCAAATCAGTTCCCATACAATGATTTCTCATAATTGCTGCTCTCAACTGCACGATTCCACCATAGATCGTAGAGAACAAGTCGCTACATTCATACATTCCGAAGAGAATTCAATAAGGAGATAAATGCACGTAAAAGGAGATGTAGTTCCAAAATCTGAAACGTGATGTCAGAAGACACATAATTAGTGATGATTTTTTTTTTTTCATGATGCATAATTAGTGATCTTTGTTACTCAAGAGTGTTGGTCTTTAGAAAATCTCAGCTCTTCCAGCCTTACCGCAGACCTTTGGGCATACCTCTATCTAGAGATGGCAAAGCCTAAAGGATACTCATTGTAAAAGGACTAGCAGATGAAAAGAATGTCAGGAGAACAAAGTAACAAGTACTCGAGCAGCCGATTTCCAACATTGATTCTTCGCTTATGGCTTCTTTCCTGCTGCTGCTATTATCATTCATGGATAACCTGCCTTTCAAGAATTCATGTAACACATAGCTTGAGCTTGAAGATAATAAGAATCCTTGTATTTTCTGACAAACTCTGGGTCCATTCCGTTGTTTATCCAGTCCTCCCTACGTATCCAACCATCCTTGCTACAATCTAGTACTCCAAGAATCTGTAGAGACAATATCTTTGTGAGATATATAATCAGGAGTCAAATGGACCCAAATACTTTCCCTCAATGCCTAAGATCATCGTTTTCTGACTTCTAGTATGCTTAATGAACAAATTCATTTTATTTTCTTTAGTTTCAAATGCCACGCTTTTTGCATTTTCCAACTCCAAATAGCAAGCATTCTTTTTTGGAGAAAAAAAGAATTGGAACATGAAACGTGCACAATTTTCATATAGTGAAGAGTCTACTAGAATAATTTAATAGTCAAAAAGAAGAAATGCTTAATTTAGAACCCCCAAAAAAAAAAATCATGAAGAGGAAGAGAGGAAGGAGCACAAAGAGTTGAAAAAAAGAAGCAAATCAAGATAAGTGCAAAATATAACATACCGCCCCGCCTTTCCATGCTGCAAATGTTGGGTTTGTTCTTGATTGTAAAACCTAAGCAGACGAAAAGGACATAGTATACTATGTCAGGAACATGTCAAATCATGGTATGTTAATAGCTCTTCATTTTCACAGAAAGATAGGCACTCAAGGAAAAGCTAACAAGGTCACCTAAGAAACTCGTAGCGACGGAACTATATGCTAATATCTATTGAAAAATTCTTGTTGAAAATTCTTTTTCGGTAAGCAGTTTCTTCTGCAGATATTGTGAAAGCTAATTCCAAAAATAAGATTTACGAGTGTTTCCTATGTTAAACTCGTTCAATGAGACAAGAAATAACTACTGCAGAACTCCATTACACAGGTCCACTTCCCAAAGAAAACTAGCTGGATATAAATGGGAAAGAAATTCACATAATGTTCAAATAAATATCATATGTCACAATGTCAGCTTAACATTTAGTGCCATGCTAGTTGATCACGTTTCGTGGTTCTATCTATTGTTTAAAAATAAATAATTAGTTCCATAACATTGAAATTGGAATGAGAAAGCTAACCTCCACGGTATCAATTGCTTCATTCGGAGGAATGGCATGTAAAACCCTGTCACAATAACGTCACACCACTTATCCATCAATTAAACACCATAGAATAGCATAAAAGGTAAATTAAACCAATCTCCCTTAAAGCCTGGTTAAATAGTTCGAAGAATCAGTAGGTGAATGTGATCCTTGGCCCACTGAACCCAGTTATTAACGGCAGAACTACCTGCTTTTTTCTCTGATTTTATTCACTGATATCGTGGGATTTCAAAAATTATTTGCTTTACCCTTTATTTTCTGTTTTATTTGATCCTATGTTATCAGCCAGAATCTAGAAGTGCAGGAGATTCCCAACGGTGCACACAATAATTTTCTGTTTAATTGCTCCTAAGTTTGCACTTTTTACAACACAATTTCAAGACTAAAACCCATGGGATATTGTTGAGAAAGAAGGGAGAGCAGCAGATTCTCAACGTTGCACACAATGATTATTCCTAAACTTGCATTTGTACCAACGATACGATCACATAATTACCCATACCATATCTTTGACTTCGGGTTCACTACATGTGACTATCCTCCTCACTTAATGAACAACTATTCTTCATTTTGTTTTAACTTATAACATTAAAATGAACTGCCGATGGAAATAGTTCAAAGCCACTCAGCTAATTGTTGCCCAATTGATTTTGCAGAAAATGAATCAAAACAAACCTTTCCTCCACTGCAGGAACCAGATCAATTGTCAAAGCAACTCCACCCGTCTATACCAAATAAATGAGTCAATCCCTTCGGATAACATGTAACATTCACATTAACACATCAAGCTCAATGTCTGAAACTTACCAATAGTATGCTACAGAATAATTTTCTCTGGAGGTCTATTCGACCTGTGAATACAACACCAAACAGTATAATGAGACTTTAAACTAAAGCATATACAACAAAAGAAAATGAAAAACAATTACCAGCTAAGAGAATACTGTTTGTAATAGCCTCAGCCAGACCGACTTTTTCTTCTTTCTTTGGCTTGGCTGAAAAGACTGGATAGCCATCCCAGATGGGTAGTCCAACATTAACATTGGGATAGAAAGTATCTGACATATCAGGCCTTCGCGGAAAATCAATGTGCCACGGATCTTCTAACATATCCTCATAGTCATGAAACCTAACAGAGCAAACCAGTATAGTTGCTTAAATGCATAATTGTTCACGAATTTGCTCACATCACAGAGAAAAAAGTTGTTCACGAATTTGCTCACATCACAAAGAAAAAACGTCAGGAATGTACTAACCAAGAACGGGGTGGTGGAGGATACACATCTGGAACCAAAAGCATTGGATAGAACAATCCCATAGGAGGAACCTTGCAACAACAGTCAGCACAGTCTCAGCACAACATTGTCCAAAGGCAAAATAAGTAAATAAAAGAGACATACATTAAGAGCAGTAAGCTTTGTCTTGTGAGATCCAGGTGGCATTCCATCTTCATATGAATGAACCACTGCAATAGAATCAAGTTCCCCCTCCTGTAGAAAAGAAAAAGAGTCCAGGTTTGGAAGAAAGTCCAAGTATAGAGAAGCGACATCATCACATGTGTGACGGTTTTAGTCATCAGACACATTCAATATGCCACAGTTAATCATTAAAAGCCTTATTCCTAACAGGACAATTTGGCCACAAGATAATAAAACAGTGGTGGACATACACACTAATTGTCCATCACATGCCCCATTCTTCCTAAACCAAGTTCAATAGTCAGTCCTAAGCCCACCTAGAGGAGCAACTTTGTGGCGGATCCTCAATAACCAATGTAAAACTCTATCAAATCACTTGTAACATGGATCAAAGACGAATTGTGTGGTTGTCATCCCATGCCAATAGAAAAGGTAGAGTGCTAACGATGAAAAGGTTTTAAAATATCTCGTCCCACCCAAGACCACACAGAGAAAGTGGCAGTGATAAGAATGGAAAAAAAAAGGATATATAAAATATTAAAAAAAAAAAAAGTTTGACAATAGAAATCCCAATTTAAGATTTATATTTAGTTTATAAATGTATAATTCCATTAGTTTATCAACTAATATGTAAAATAGGTAAAGGTGATTTTTGGACTCCGGGACAGGTGGAAGATTAAAAATCACCTCCTCTTTATTAAAAAAACAAAAAAAGTGCCTTAAAATTAAGTAGATAAAAAGTGGTAACACGTAAAACAAATCATAATTTTATGTCATCATAAGCATATATTATATCGGCTAAATGAGATTAAAGTAACCAAACTCACTTTGATTTCACAATATGTCTCTTTCAGTCGGTTTAACATTAACATATCTATAGGTTTTGTCAAAATATCTGTGCGAATTTGTGGCCAATTCTGGTGATGTCTCTGGGTCCATAGAAAGCACCTTGATATATCCTGGAAATATGAAGTTAGCATTTGAACAAAAACGAGTAACATATTGAAATAGTAGCAAAGAAAACAAAACTCGGAATACAGAATGTAAGGTATGATATGCAATAGCCAAAAACTGCAAAAGGACAACTAAACCACCAACAAATGATGATTGCACAAAAGGGAGACAAACCAGAAAGGATGATTAGGACTTCTTTTAAAAAAATAAATATCACAGATTCCAGAACTCACATTGCTAGCCTGAAAAATGCTATTGTTAATCCCCCCCCCCCCGGGAATGAAGTACATAGAGTATCTTACAGATCAAGTAGTTCTTTGACACGGCAATAAAGGTGGGTCAGTGTGTCAAATGTTCGTACTTCACACACATTTTAGACAAGAAAATTCAAGGATTTCAAAGTGAATGGACACTGAAGTCTGTATAGCAGCACGGAAATGATGACAAGATATTGTGACTAAGCGTATCTTCGTGTAGGAAGCAGGCCATCCTACTTCTCTCTTGATTTATACAATATTATCAGTAACAAAATAATACTTGCTAAACTACTTTGAAAGATCAGATATGAGTTGAAGTATTAAACCAGGCTTTATACCTCGCCTCCAAAAGGTAAAGTTTTCCCAGTTAAAGGTAGAGCACCTCCATCCTGAACCAAAAAGAAAGGGGAGGGTGAGTTGAGAAGAAACATTAATCCCCCAAATTAGTCATCATCTAGTTCTTCAATATCAAAAAGGAGTTAGAACTGCTAACAACATGGAGAAAAGTTAAATAAATGGTTAATTATTGGCATATGCTAGAGCTTAACGATGTTGTCAGTGGCCAGTTAAGGGGGGGAAAAATCAGTGGAACCAAATCACACAAAATTATGGGAAAAAGTTCAATATCTTAAAGAACGAAAAATATTATTCAGACAAGCAGGCAACTATTGTCCATATTAAAGTAATAAATAATATGGCACAAATTTGAAAATGACCAGGATTGCAATAAAGATAACTAGCATGAGTTGATCAGGGAACTGCTAATCCATAGTCACTACAGCTTCCCCTTATCTTTTTAGTTATTTAAGGATAACAAAATGGATTTTGCTCTTATAGATTATATCACACACTAAACTTGATGACAAATGCCTTGTGCTGTGAAAAGTAGACGATAAAAGAGACAAATAATTACACTTACCTCTATGCAAATTACTGATGTCACCTGAGCACCAATATTCACAACACATGCTGTTGATAATCCATTTCCAAAAACTGCAGCAAGACCTTCCTGGTCAACCAATTTCATAACATGGTCAGAAACTAATGGTAAACTATGTACTTAAAGACAATGGAAGAAGGCAACTATGATGCCAATCACAGATATCATTCAAGTATTTGAATGCATGAGGATATTCGATATATCATTCACATAGAAAATAGATATCAGAATATGAATCATAAAGCCAGAAAGCCCTAAATTCATTCGTGACAAATCTACTGAAACACAACTTATAGCGAAAGTGATGGGAATGAAGGCTAATCATCAGATCTGTATCAAGGCTCATATTTAAAAATAATATCATGTGACTTCTCTTAGTGATAACTCTAGGAACATTTTAAAATGTGGTTTTAGACATTCCAGAATCTTGCCGAAAGAAAATTGGTTATAACTGATGATCATGATCAAAATAATAGAACTTTGGCCCCACATTCAGCATGTAAATTATAACATTACAATAAAAAGCCATACCTGGTGTACTACAGCTAGGCCAAACCCAAGGTCTTTCAGCACTACAGATAACATTTCCTTTATTTCTGCTTCCAGCAACAAACAAATACAAAATTAATATAGTAGAAGCATGAAGATATTACTTCTAAGAGAACTGCATGCTTCAAAATTTAAGAGGGAAAGAGATGGCATTGTCCCCCTTAAAGATCCTAATCATTATCTTCCTTTTATTCAACTCAGACGGGATCCTAAAGCATATGAATTACCAAACAATTATCTCATCGATGCAATGTAGAAATTTCTCATCACTTATCCAGGGAAGCATTACTTGAATGATATAAATAATGAAGTTTGGTAAATGTAAAATGCAAGATTATAATGCCACTTGGAAAGCTGACACTGACAGCACTTCACTTGTCTTTGTATTGCTTATCAGTCAAAATCCTCAAATTTCGGAGCTGCCAACCACTGACTCTGACATCATCTGATGGCACTCAAGTGGAATGGGAATCCCCCCATTTAAGTTTTACATATAATAGCCCATATTATTAAATGGAGGACTAGTTATTTCGTTCTACTTTATTTTCCATAAAAATCTAAATTAAATGTAACATGCATGTCTGATAAGAAAAGATGAAACATTCTACAGCTATAAAAAATTGACAGGTTCTAAATACCACGATTATCAAATGTTTCTGGCACCACAAGAACAGCAGCATACATGTTTCTCTCATTGTGAGGAATATGCAGTTTCTCTATGAGAATCCAATCCCAAATAGCTTGCAGGTCCTCAAGTACCTGTACAATATCCATGTTGGAGCCAAAAGGTAAAATAAATTCCTTTCCCTTTGTTTTTACTAATCATAATGAAGCCTGTTTATAATGTGTCACATCAAAGCATAACACATTAAAGTACATCACAAGCAGAAACTCCAAGTAAAATGTTAACCATAAACTTTGCAGGAATTGGCAGGCAGCAGATATGGTCACCCAATTTTCATATTTAAGAAAATTATGCCATGCTGCATCCAAAAGCGCTATTACTATCATGTAAAACATTACAGTATGATATGATGGCCCCCTTAACATTTACAATATCATGAAACTTGTACATAT